AACAGACTCAAAGCAGCTTGCTAAAAAACAAAAGATCTAAACTGAGACAGGAGCTGCCGTCAAAAAAAAAAAAAAATAGTTTGAAGGTAAAGCCCAGCCAGGAAAAAATTAATTGCTGAAACAAGCATTTATTGCAGAAAAATAACTAAATCCTGAATCTCTACAACTTAATCTACAAAATGTCCAGGGTACAATTCAAAATTGCCTGCATATGAAGAACGAAGAAAACAAAATATTTTTTTCTCCACAGGCAAAAATGGCTATTATCACTTCTTCAATGATACTTTAAAAAAGAAAATTCTTCTCAAAGAATGAAAACCTTATCAGAGAAATAAATAATCTCATCAGAGAAACTGAAATAATAAAAAAGTTTTAAAGGATTCAGCCAAAGAACATCAATCACTAGGTCAAAGACTACAGGATATTCATAAAAGTTTTGAAACATCATTTCACAATTACTTAATTGTAAATAGAAAAAGGTATCTTTTAATAGAAAAATCTAGCAGATAACATTTATACTGAGTGACTGGAATTTAGCATCTCCAGTAAAGGGACAAAGACAGATGTGATACAATGTATTATTATTATTATTATTATTATTATTATTATTCTTCTTCTGTGGTATTACAAATTTTCTATAGTTTTGAAATGTTTTCCAAATAGTGGAAGGGGAAAGTGTAAATACAATATTATTAAAGTTTATGAAAGGAAAGAAAAAAAAGCTAAAAGAAAGACTAGTATAAATCAGGGAAGAATTAAAGCAGCTACATCCTGGGATCTTTCACTTCCTTCACCAGGAGGAAACTCAGGGAAAGAGAGGCGATGCAGTTTAATCTACTTGTTAATAGGCTGGTAACTAGTCTTCCTGGTAAACAGGCTAATGATTTTTGTTTGGAGAAAGGTCCTTATCTGAGGAATGCTCTTAGTAGGATGTCCGTTATTAAGAAGGCTTACAGTAACCAAACCTAGAATCTATAGATTTATGATTAATGGCACACTGGAGAATATCATGTAAACTACAGAACCTTGGGGTATAGAATGGAGAAGTTTCAAAACCTAAATGCTTACTGCTAAGAGGTAATAACCAGACTTCCTCATTTGGAGACTGTCTGGGATAGAAAGTACATGTCTAATGTGGAAAGGTTAGACCCCTGTGGAATCACTTACAGTCCCAGATCTCTCCTTGTTTCACTTGTGCCTTCTGATTACTCGCATTCTTCAAACTATTAGCACAGCTGGATTCTAAGTAAGATCTATAATACATAAGACTGATTTTATAGTATGATTCTTTGTACTGGCTCACAAATAACAGAAAAAACTGTCAAAAAATAATTATTGTATAAGATTAACAATACTTTTAATACAATTACTTTAGTAGAATAAGTGAACTAAATGATAATTTGACATAGCTAATTAATACAGTATACTTATGGAATATATTAAGATATCTTTTACCCTGTGGAGAATTTTTTTTTAAACTTTCATAGGAAAAAACTCACAGTATGTGAAATTACAGAACAAAACTCAATAAATTTAAAAAAAAGCATATATGCCCAGAAATATCACAAAATTCCAAAGAACATATGACTATATATGATGATAAACCTCCAATCCTAGGGGTGTATGCAGCCTAGAATACATCCTTTGAAACAAGACTCTGCCTACTTTACAGAGTTGTGGTGAGATTCGAATAATATGATATAGTTATTTTATTATTTTTGATGATGTATTACTTTACTTGATTTTACATAATACCTCTACAGATCATAATCTATACTGTTTTTCCTATTTGTGATCCACTAATTACAACCACTTAGAAACAGGCCATGAAGAAGCATGAGATAGGGTGACCCTAATAGCTGATGTAAGCTCAAAGGACAGTTTTAGTAACAGAGTTGACAATACAAACACAGGAAAAGAATAAAACAAAAGAAAAAGAGTTTTACAATAGAGGAGAGGTAAGGGGTAGCAGGCAGAACAAAGTCTCACAAAAGAATATATAGCTCTCATCTTAAAAGAATACTCAGCACAGGGAGAAGTTATGGCCTTAGGGAGGAAGAGGTTAAAAAAATACAGATATAGGTAACTGTATATTTAGCTGAGAGGAATTAAAAGGATCTGAAAACATGTACATCTTTGGGCCTTTTCTCCCTAGAGGACAAACATCATGTTTATTCAGTTATATCATCTAATCTCTAGGAGAGTGGGTCTACATATATTTCAGGAAGTTCTTGGCTTACTGAATCAGTAAAGTGGCTAGCATCATTAGTTTATAGACAATTTTGTAGTCCACGAGTTAACAATTGTTTGGCCTTTGGTAAATTGCTTAATTTCTCTAAGCTTCAGTTTCTTATTCTTTAAGATAGAAATAATAACAATATCTACCTCATGAGACAGTGATTATAAAATACACAAAGTAGTACCTGGCACACAGCAAATACTCAGTAAAAGCTAGCTATTACCTTTATTGTTGAGAAAGGGATTTCTTGCACATTTTGAGTAATTTCAATATATGCTTTAATTTCACCACTTCCTTCTCCAGCTAAATAACTTAGGATTCTGTAAATGTTGATAAGCTACTTTAACTTCAAAGAAAACGGAACTGTCTCAGAAGCCAGTACTACACTAAAATCAAACTTAAAAAGTATGAATACTATTAGAAAAAGCAGCAAAGACTTGAAACTCATACATTACAGTCTATAAAATTAGAACCTATGATTTCATAGTAACATAAAGATCAGGCCATTGTTTTTCTCAGCCAGAAGAAACTCCCATTTCTAAAAATATCTCAGGTTTTCTTCATGAGGATGTCATCTTGTAACAAAATACCCTATTATCATAGAAAGCAAGTATAGACAGTATGTCATGAATAAGAGTATAAAAATGTAGTGGTATATGATCCAAGGAAAAAATTCCTCTGGAAAAATGAATAAGTAGTTTTTCTCCAAATTTAACTGACACTGTGTGTTTACTGTTTTGTGACTATTTTTCTGATACTTGCACGTACATTCCTTACACTTCCCTAGGAAATTAAAAATGGCCTTTCAATTAAGAAAAATGATGAATGTATTTGCTTCTTCTAGAAAAGACAAATTTTGTAAAAGAAACATAAATGAGGAATAAAATTTGATACTTCGAAAAGCAAGCATATAGTCTTTCTAGCACTCTTATTAATCTGTTTTTTATAATTAAATTTAATCCAATTTTAAATGCATTATAGAAGAAGTTGACATCAGAGTAGTCGACCCAGACCACCCTAATCACTGCCACAAATTCAAGGAATATGCACACTTTGAATTTCATATATTCAAGGAATATGCAGGCTATGAATTTTTGCTTTCTATGAGACAATTCTATAGTGGTCTTACATAACCACAGGGAAAAATAGAAAAAACAAAAACTATGGTACTGATAGAGTAATCTTGTAAACCTATGAATGTTAACACTCAGTCTAATCTCCCTTTACTGATGATATTTAAGAATAATCAAAGCAAACTTTATGTGTAGATCAAATGGGACTGCTTTTCTTTGTAATTAACTAAATGTTGTTTTTAAGTTCTTTCCCTGGTAAAATGAATCAGCAACTATACAAGCGTAGTTCAAAAAATTCATGGAAAAACAGAATTAAAAGATATACAAAATTTTCCATGAACTTTTTGAAGTATCTTCACATAGTAACTCAAGGCCTCTGAATAATTTAGGGCTATAAGAATGACTATTCAGAAGAAATTACAGGGAAAAATTTAGATAGACAATGTAATTTAGTAAGGACCTTAGTTAAAAGAAAGTGAAAGAAAGAGATAAATCGCAACTTATCTTAGCACTCTTCTCAAAACCCCAAATCTCTAACTAAAGATATTATTTCTCATAAAAATATCATGGGGAAAGAAAGGTATATGAAAAAGCCTAAATTACCTGCAAACCAAAGAGACAAAAATGATAATTAGGAGTCAAATACAGTGTATTTTTTTCCCTGAATGACAAATTAAAAGGGGATTATAACTTTAAGAAAGAAAAGATATATCAAATGATTCCATGAATTTTGCAGTCCTGTGGTGGGGGAGGTGGGGGGAGACAAACACAAGAAACAAATATACCTCATGTCAAAGGGTCATTTCCTACATTTGTTTTTATTCAGATTAACTGGGATAACTTTGTCTTATTAAATACTTTACCGTCCCTTTAAAAGGAAGAAAGGGTGAAAAGCTTAGATAATCTAACTCAATTAAAATATTGTTAGGGAATTCTCTTGCTCTTTTATTTAACTCAAAACTTGGAAGTTATACCAAAACGTAATAGTCAAACACACAAGCAAAATGACCCTGCAATTAAGATAATTGCTGGTACCAAATGTTGTTTTTAAGTTCTACAGTAAAACAGACTCCCAGACATTTAATGGTATGTCATTTGGTAAATCAAAGTTTCCACAAAATAAAAGCAGTGAGAAGACCTAAAAATTATGTTAGTGAAGAGTCTGGCTGAAGAAAACAAAAATATGGATCATGTTGGTCCAACGCTAATTTTATTTCAAGTTACTACCGAATTGAATAAAATGCTGACACCACCACGTAAAAATGTATTGAGTTGGCAGGAGGCAGAGCATGATGTCAGCCACCAATATCACTATCCACATTCTCAAATACCATGACCACTTTAATTCGTGAACTTAATTTAGACTTCATTCCTAAAGTTACAGTAAAAATAAAAACCTTAGGCATGAGGCATTATTAAACATAAATGAGTTTAGAATGGAAGTTTTAACTCAAATTAGTCTAGCACTTTAAACAAATTCAGTAAAAAATGTGGAAAAGTGTAAGCTTGAACATATTACAATTCTGTGAATGTGTTTTCTCACCAAATAGACTCATACAAATAAGCCTTAGGCAACCCTCAGGAATATTCAAATAAGTAATAACACACACACACAAAAAATGCAGGCTGACAGGAGACATGGGAACACACACACACACACACACATATAAATCCACACAAGTTCTTACCTTCATGGCATGGATTTCTTCAAGCAATCGTTGTACCCGTCTTTGATTTTTTAACAGTGCATCTTCAGTACCCCTGCAAAAATACATTACAATATATGGCCAGGCAAAGCATTAATTTTAGATTCATATGATAATAAATGATATTTATTTCTTTCAGAAAAGTATAATAAATATCTAAATAACAAACATCCCACCATCCTGCATTGTGCTCCTTCCAACACACATCCTAATTTCATAAACAAACTCAAGTGTTTGAAACTGGCAAAAATAAGCATTGTTGTGGCATTATATTAATGACTATTACCACAGATAGGTTGCCTTCTCTAGTTCCTTAATGAGAAGGTAAATAATACTTTTTATCAATCAATCAATCAATCAATAGTATATTATATTTAATGTAATATAAGCTGCGTGAGCTACAATTAAAGTTTGGATATAATTTTATTAAATGAAAATTTGTTCTCTGAAATTAAAGAAAAAAAAATGTGAAACACCTAATTATATCAGACAGAAGGGCTACCTTCTGAAACACTTATGAAAGAACAGGAAGTTAATCAGAAAAAAATACATTTGAAGGCTTTCTAAATATTCATGCTAAAATCTTAAGAACTGTAAATAAAATACTTTTTCACTAATATTATTGATGCTGAAAATACAAAACACTCATATTATCTTTTTCCAAGAAATTACATAGAACAATGTTCAGATAAACACTTCCACAAGGCACTGAAAAATTCAAATTACTTAGCAATTCAATAAAAAAAGTGATATGAAATGTTTATAACATAAGGTATTACTAAATTTGTTAAACTATATCAACATCTTAAAATAACTTCTTATAACATAAAACACGTAAATAACCCCAAGGGAATTTCATTCTGAAATGACCTAAAGGAGAGTTTTGAATACAACAGAATTCATCAAGTGTGACTTAAGGAGATAGTATGGACACCAAGTTGACAAGGGGTGGACTTGTGCAGGTTAATTCTAGATGTCAACTTGGTTAGATGAAGGAATGCTGAGAAACCTGGTAAAGCAATCTTTTCAGGTGTGTCCATGAGGGTGTTTCCAGCAGGGAATAGTATGAGAGTCTGAGTGGCCTGGGTGTGAAAGACCCACCCTCAGTGTGGGTGGGACCCATCCAATACACTGGGGGTCCGGAGAGAACAAAAGACAGAGGAAAGAGGTAAAGCTCTCTCTCGATCTGCTGGAGCTGGGATACACTCTTCTCTCCTGTCCGTGGACATGAGAGCTTGAGACTCTTTAGCTTTTGGGTTCCAGAACTTACACCAAGAATACCATCAGCTTCCCTGGTTCTGAAGCCTTTTGACTTGGACTTAGCCACGCTACTGGCATCCAGTTTATAGACGGCCTATTGTGGGACTTTTCTTCATAGCCATGTGAGCTAATTCCCCTAATAAATCCCTCTCATATAATTATAATATATCCTATTGATTCTGTCTCTCTAGAGAACCCTGACTAATAAAGACTTGTGTATCTTAAGTGAACATGGTTCAGACCACAGAAAGACATGCTGACACAGCACATTCTATTTCACCCAGATCATCTCTTCATATAAAAAACAAAGCGCTGTATGAGTAAGATATTTACTTAGTCCTCTAGATACCACCCTCAAACTTTATAAATATTGAGTAAAAATAACTTTGGACATTTTATTAGTCACAGGATCATTAAATGACTAACTTTTTTGACTTCAGTCTGCCAACACTCCTGACAAGTTTTCGGATAACCAGAACTCGGACTCTCTTCACTTCTTTTCTCATCTTCACAACCTTTGAGGAATGAAGCCATAATTAGAAAAGTACTTAATTCAGGAACAACCACACTTTCTTTTGAGTGTTAATAGTATAGACTTAGTCTATCACTTTAACCAAATTTTTTGTTTAACTGTATTCATATTTGATAAAATCAAATTTCTTCCAACAACAGTGAAGGAATAATCAACAGTTTAAAAATGTGTTTGAGAGGGCCAGCCTGTGGCTCACTTGGGAGAGTGCGGTGCTGATAACACCAAGGCCCCGGGTTCGGATCCCATATAGGGATGGCTGGTTCGCTCACTGGGAGAGTGTGGTGCTGACAACACCAGGTCAAGGGTTGAGATCCCCTTACCGGTCATCTTAAAGAAAAAAAAAAGTGTTTGAAGGTTTGAGAGAAAAGTTATGATTTTTGAAAAAGTCACAGCATTCCCAATGATTAGTATTTTATTGTTACACTTATATCTTATTGGGCTTGGAACATAATAAACTGAGTTACCTGAGATCAGAGACTGTCATATTCATTTTTGTATCCTTATGGTTTAAAACAGAGCCTTACTCACAATGGTAGGAATTGAATTTACTAAATGAATGTCTGAATCAACAAAGTAAATAAGTGAAAACTATTTTATTTTACTTTTTTATAAAGCACCCTTGCACTTACCTTTCAGTAATAAATTACTTCAAGTATAACTAAAAGAAAAAAAAAAAACCCAAACACAAGGGCACATTATGTGTGAGCAGATATTAAATTTAAATCATTCCATTAGAGAACAATGCTGAACTCTAAGAAAAAAACAGAACTACAGGCCAATACATAAAAATATTCTAGAACTGTGTGTTATAAAAGTATTCAGTACAATGTCATGTTATCACTGAATTTATGTTTTGTTTGTTATGGGTAGGAGTCACACATAATTCCTACTGGAATGTCCTTCTTCCCCTTCTCTACTTTAGGAACTACATAAAATTCAGTTGTGATACAGTCCTTCCTATGAAACCTTCAACAACTTTTTCAGTTAGAGATAACCATTCCATCGCTGAGGTAGCCACTATACTTTGTAGGTTCTGTTATTAAAGCATCTATCTCACTGTACTGTCACTAATTGCTCAAGTGGTTGTACTTTTCTATAGACTGTGAGATCCTACAGGACAGGAGCCTTGCAATATTTACATAGTGTTTTCTGTGCCTTGCAAGGGGGGCTGATACACACGATCCCACCAATTATTGCCAAAATAAGAATATCAGCATCATACTGTTTCTTCATGACTCTTGCATTTGGCAATAACTTCTCTATTCTTCATTAATGTCATTCACTCCTTTATTCACTGAAGATACTGGCAACCAGCTGACAATTATTTTTATACTAAGTTTTGCCATGACTCTGGCTGATTTAAATGCCCACTTAAATAACCCATCTAATATTACATCCTCACTTCTTGACTTCTTGTTTTCTAATGACCTAATCTATTCCATTTCACCCACCCATTTCCATGGTCACACTGTACAGCTTGTCATCACTCATAACTATTCCATTTCTAAAACCATTAATTCAAATATTCTATCCCATGATCACAACTACTTCTATCAGCTTGTTTGTTCAACTCCATCTACCACAACTGTCTTTGACTTCACTGGGACCACCAGTCCATTGACTTTTCCCCACACTTTCTCTTCAATGATTTATTCTCTTCTTTTTAATTTTCCTCCTGTTATCTAGTTTACATATAAGTAGAGCTAGAGCTAGGGTCTGGAGCTCACAGACTCCTCAAGCCCGTTCACAAGCCCTTCACATGCAGGTCTATGAGCTACATAACCGGCAAAAAGGTCCTTGGAGCCTTGGCTGAAGTAGAAATAGTCTTTATTCAGCACACACAACACTATGAGCCAAGCAGTCCAGAGAGAAACTCAGAAACGCAACTGCTACTGGCAAAGTCCAAAGAGAAACTGAGCAGCTGCCAGCAGAGTAAACGTTCTATTTTTAGACCCAAGCTCTCTGCCAGCCAGCCTCCTTCACAAACTCAACACACAATAGCAATTAACTAAAAAGATACCTGGGTGCAAATGCACTAACTCCACCCACACACAACTTGTTTAGAAAGAAATGTGCTGCACGACCCCCCAATCAGACATAAGCCGAGGAAGCCTGACTAAATTATCCTATTTTCCCCAGAATCCACCCCTTCAGGGTCCCTTGCCCTACAATCTACGTGTTAAAAATCTTCTGCGATGTTCCCTTAGTGAGGATAAATGACCCTTTTATTATTATTTTGGAACTTGTCTTCGTATTGAAGTTTCACCTCTCTTGCCCCAGTGTGAAGATTCAGCCGCACATGGGATCCTGCAGGGACAACCTGACTGGGTTCTCACAACTGAGGCAGAAGGTGAAGCAGGAGGTCATCAGTAGCAGCACGCCCAAAGGAGCCATCCTAGATGGAGGCAGGGTCTGGGGATATATATACAGTGTATACACGAGGAGGTAATCTTCCTATACCCAATTGCAATGACGGCTTTGACCTCAACAGTTTGTCCTCCATAGCCATCTATACGAACCGTGGCCCCTGGAAACTATCTGGATTGCCATATATCAGGCTACATTCTGCAGCTGTACCCACCAATGCCAAAACGTGCTGCACATTTGTCCTCAACCAATGTATTGCCAATTCAACATGAGGCCTCCGATCCTTTCCTGCCCCCAAAAGATGAGTACCTTGGCCTGCTCCCTATTCGAAATTGAACATTTCACCCACCTCCTCGGGAGCAATCAAAAAGTCCTTTAAATCCACTGAACATACCTTGCTACCTGTTTCCGGACATTTAACAAAATGCTTTTGAGGGCTCAATTGTTGCCACAAGGCAAACAGAACCAGCTTGTGGCAGCCAAGCGTTCATAGCTACGTCACTTTTTGATCCTTTGATGTCAGCTCTTCCTATCATTGTAAAGGGTTTGTGAACGGGCTCTAGGGGTCTGTGAGCTCCAGACGCTAGCCCTAGCTCTACAGTATATAATCAACATTTGCCAATACCATAAAATCCTATCTTTGTTGTTAGCAAAAGGTTACTCCTAAATGAAAACAACGTTCTGAGTTCTTCAAGACCTCCACAACCCAATAGCCAGAAGATACTTGCAACATATCTACTATAAATTCATCATAACCTCAAATGGATCCTCATACTTCCTATTATATTTTTCTGATCAGTTCACTCTACAATGACTATTTTAAACTTCTGCCCGTTCTCCTAAAAGCTCTGGTCCTTCTCCTCTCCTCTCTCTTCCAATTTAATGGAGAAAATAAACATCAGTTGGGAACCATCATCTTTCTACTCCATAAACGTAAATTTACTTACATCACCCATCTTCTTCTATTAATAGTTACACTGTAAGAAATTCCCCTACACATATCTGAGGTTAATCTTTTAACTGTGCTCTGGAGCCCATCCTCTTCTGCTTTCTCAATCCTTACTATGGATTATCCCTTTACTCTAGCACTGTCATTATCATTCTCTTAAATGGATTTATTTTCCACTGATTTTTAAACATATTTGAGTATTTTTATTAAAGACAAGACAAACAAAACAGCTTCACTACATAGTTCACTAGAAGCAACCACTCCTAAACTGCCTTCAGAGCCAAGCTTTTAAAAAAGAGATGTCCAAACTCAGTATCTTCATTTCTGAATGCCACACAATTCCAGTTTGATTTCCATTCTCATCAGTCAACTAAAAGCTGTCACTAAGGACACCAATGATTTCCAAAAGTCTCTGAATCTAACGGGGATTTTTTGAGACTTCATTTTACTTTACTTCTCAGCAGCAGTTGACATTGTTGACCACTTCCTCCACTATTTCCTTGGTTTCCATGACAGAATACTCTCCTAGTTTTCCTCCTTCCTCTCTAGCCATGACATCTTGAAGGCTCATTCACCTCTACCCAGCCATGAAATGTTAAAGAGTTCAAGGGACACTCCTAGGCCAGCTCTTCTTTTCACAATGTACTTTTTAGCATTAAGTGATCTTACGTGCGCATATTGGTTTAACTTGCCACCTAAACAAAGATGACTCCAAGTTTTTACCTTTGCTGAAACCTCTCCTTTTAGCTCTAGACCTAAATGTGCAAGTGGCCTGCTTGACATTTCTTTTTTAGTGTGCTCAAAATCATCTCAAATTTGCACTTGAACTCATGTTCTTCACCTCCGATTGGATCCACCTCACTTTTTTTTTTTTAGTGTTTCATATTAAAGAGAACGAAACAATCTTTTCAGCTATGAACCTAAAGGTCATCATCCCTCACAATAAATGTATAACCAAGTCCTGTTAATTTTATCTCCTAATTATCTTTTAAATTGTACCACTTTATTTTTGCAATCTTGACCTCTAGAAATATTCACTGAGTTACTGTTCACTGGTATCTCTATACTCATTCTTGCCCCTCTCCATTCATTTATCCATAATGCAGTCAGAATAAAATTTTCCAACACACAGATCTGATGTCACACTTTACTTAACTCTTTCCAATGTTTTCCAGTTGCTCTTAGGATGGCCACAAAGGCATTCTTTTAGTCCCCTGTCCTCACCATGCTCACATTTACCATAAAGTCATTACACTTGATATTTCCTCTGGTAGGAATGTTCCTTCTTCCCATGTTAGCCTGTCAATATCTGCTTACTCTGATTTTGGCTAAATCGTCATTTCTGAGGAAAGTTTTTCTGGCCTCCCTGTGAGGGTCACAAATTCCCCATTACAAACAAGCACTTAAGAGTAACCAGTATCTCTAGAATTTATCATGACTCTTATTATTTTATTTTTAATTTATGTTGAATGTGTCTTTCCTTCAGTACGTTATAAATTCTATGAAGATCAAGCATCTGGTTTTACTCAGCACTGCACCTTAACACCTAACACAGTGCATGGCATGCAGTACTCGTATGTGTTCAGTAAGTATTTGTTAAATAAATGACCTGAACTGTAGCAATACTCGCTTGTTCATTCACTGTTTCAAATGAATTAAATATTAAA